ACTTTAGATTACATGCTGGATTTTTCTTGCAAACTTATCATCTTTGCATTTTAAATCTATGGCAAAAATAATGTGACACTATAAATGGTCCTGCTGTGCACACTACTTAACCAATTGCTCTGACAGCACAGTTTTTTTTATCAACTTGACAGGCAACAGTTGACATAATGTATAAGCATGTGTGTGTCTGAAAGTGTGTGTTTGTGTTGTGTATGAGAAAGGGAGAGAGGGATGGGGAGAGAGAAAGAAAGAAAGCTTATTAAAATTACCTGAGGATCATCCCATATCTGATGAATCTGCCATAATTATCATATGTTTATGCTTAGGTATAAGATCTTGTCAAGAAGGAGATATGGATGGTTATTTTTTTTATAGAAGAAGCATACCATTTTCTGCTTCAAGCTTGATCACAGCATCTGAATGAGGAAACTAGGATTAAAACATAATGCATAGATGATTCTAAAATATGTGTGCTTTTATTTTTTCCTTGCTGTTTTTTAACTCAGAAGCTCAAGATTGCAGGCAGGTGACATGGGAAAGTTTACAACTAACAGGTAATTGGGAAAGCATCAATCTGCTGGCTTTTATTTTATTTTATATTTTTAGGATCCAGGAAAGTTAAAAACACAAGCAAATGTGACTGTGAGTGTTTCACTGGAAATGTAAACTTTCTGTGTTCTAGAGTATTTGTTTTAGTAAGACAAGTTTACACAACTTGTGGAGAGTTATTTTGTTGGAAAATAAATTTTGTAGCTTCTCTGCTTTTTTCTATATTTGACCATCTTTCTATTCTAACCAATTTGTTCATTTATCTTTTACTTATGGGCTTTACTGCTACACGGTTGCTGAACCATTATGATAATTTCTACATTTTTGTCAGAAACAAATAGTACTATAAATGAAACGTCATTGCATTTTTCAAGTGATGCTGTAAATAATTGTAGTATTATATATATATATATATATATATATATATATATATATATATATATATAGTGTGTGTGTGTGTGTGTGTGTATATATGTGTGTGTGTATATATATATGTATATGTATATATATATATATATATATCACATTCATCATGCATGGACAGGCTAGATTTAGTTCTGTCCAGCATCTTTATTAAATAAGTATTATAGAAAAAAAATAAGAATAAAGGAATAATATTAAGCAAATTGACTTAACATACGTAGCATAAATGAGATTTATTTATATTGGGAGGGGAAGATTCTTGTAGCTAAAAACATGTATTCAACTTTCCTGAAAATTCTCCGTAACATGTATAAAGTTGAAAGTCTTTCATAAATATGCAGCATATTGAAATATTTGGGATAAATTCCCCAAATGTAGACATAGTTTCAAAATGTACTGCAGGTAGTATTTCAGTGTTGTATTCGTAAATTAACTGTGTACATAGTGTCTTAATATGTAAAAATCTTTATTGCAGAAGAAATTAGTATTTGATTTCATACTTTTCATTCTAATATCCAAGCTACAAGACCAAATTTTGTATTAGAATCTTGTGGCTGCAAAGAAATACATATACATGAAAAGGAAGATAACTAAAGTATGAAAAGAGAAACAAGTGCAATTTGGTAATTCCAAAGAGTAATTATCAGGAAATATATAGTTACAGAATTAAAGGAATATGAAAAGTAATGTCTCTTTTGAGTTGAACTCAACTCCTTGGAACTGAATGGATATACCATGTGGTTTTATTGGCAAAAATATAAAAGGGTTTACCGTTACTGCCCTCTGCATGTTTTTTCTAGAATCATAGAAGCACTGGAACATTTTTGATAGATGATTATCCAGGTTGTTTGAAAAGTCCAGTGAAGGGGTAGAAAGCACTTCATGCAGTAACCTAATTCACTGATTGATAGTACCTATTTTCATACCTATTCTATATCTTTGAAGTTTCGTTCCATCAGTTTTAATTTTACTTTCTGGTGCAAGACAGAATAAGTTTTAACTCTTTACAATATAACAGCATTTAAGATATTTGAAGACCACTATCATGTACCTTGTCAATTTTCTCTTCTTCAAATTAAACTTACTGAGATCTTTTAATTATTCCTCATAGAACTTAGTTTTTGCTGTCTTGGTGGTCCTTCTCTGGACTTGCTTCAGTTTATTTAAAATTTATATGGCCACCCATCTCACCAACACGTGACTTTGGGTGATGAACAACAGAAAATAATTAATCTGTATGTTTTTTTAAATTGGCAGGTGCAGAACTGAATGCAATACCCCAACTGAGACTTAACCAAGGCAGAGTAGAGCAAAATAACTACTTTCCATAGTCTGGACTGCTGTATTTCTATGACCTGGACTTCTAGTGCTAGTTCAGTTTGTTTGGGGGGGGGGGTCATTTCTCAACTAGGTTTCTAAAGCCCCAAATATCAGGTTCTTATTTTTCAAGATAGAAATGTTTTATTGATAGCAAAACTAAAATGCAGATCTTCCCTTATGCATATTCTGGTATGTTTCAGAATGAATAAAAACAACAGTTTTACAAGCTTAGGAGTAATTTCCCCATCAGTTATATAGATATGAGAGATCATACTGATACCAACTTCTTTGCCTTTCCCAGCAAGTTAAAATATAAAAGATACACAAAATCTTAGGTTCAAATAAATTATTTTGATCGAGGTAAAACATTTAAAATAAACAATTGTGCACTTAAGACAGTAGACAGAGGTACTGTATGTTTATAAGGCCATGTGGGTGGGAGCCCCTCAATTGCACTGAGAAATGACTTCCACAGACAAAGATGGAGCAAAAAGGAATAAATTCATTCCAAGCCAGATGTTACTGGAGGTGGGTCTCTGAAGATTGAGTAGGAGGAATCTTGCATTCCCTCAAGCACAAAAGTGAGGACTTTCAAAATAAGCAGCATCATGTATGCAGAAACAAATTGACAGCCAGTGTAAAGACTTCAAAATGGGTGTTATGGAAACCTCCAGAGATTAACCTAGCTCTGTAGCATTTTATATTCATTCAGGTTTCTGAGCGTTAACTGCAATTAATGACCATATTTTTCCCAATTACATTAAAAATGTGAAAGGAATTGTGTAGCTATCCTTTTCCTGAGATAATGGGTTTTCCATTGACAAGCTATTTACTCAAAACTTTGACACACAGAAATTACTATATTTCCATATTGAAAAAGCTCGACTTAATAATTTAAGTAACTTTTTAGGATGAAGTGTTTCAGATATCCTTTCAATGCAGCTTCATTCTTTTATCAAAGAAGTAGCTGACGATTTTTTAACTGAAAAAAGAGGTATTATAAGGTTAATGGAATACTAAAAGAATATTTGAGTTGTACAACACTCTTATCTCCAAATATTCCTGGATGTAATACTTATCGTTGTGATACCTTTTTTTGCAAATCATAAATGTAGTTCCAAAGACAACAAAAATACTTTATATAACATATATAAAGTATTAATTTATATAACATATCCACATACCTCTTGTAAAAAGATTCTCAAATTGAGCTTTGCTAGATTCTCACTTTCTAACTTAATCTTACTTTAGATGCTACAACTCCTAGTTCATTTTTCCTTAGCAGCATTAAAAGATGTTCTGTGTCTTCAGCAAGCATGAATTATATTAGATATTTTACCTTTGTTAATGTTTAATTCTACTTTCCTGAACAGGTTTTTTATTTATCAAATCACATTGGAGTGCTCATCTTGCTTGAAGGCCCGTGATCCTAAGACAATTTTTTTTCAGAACTAGAATTATTCATCTGAATTCCATTGCATACAAACAGAATATATCAGATATATCAACCAACATAAATCAGATTATCCTTTAGTGTTTTTTTTTTTTACATTGCTCTACTCACTATTTATAGGTAACAAATTACACTATCTGGAGAAAATGCAGCAAACATTATGAGTTGAAGTTGAACATCTGTAAGACCACATTACTTTATCCTTGAACAAATGATTCCAAGCATTCTGTCACCTTATTTCCATTTTACTTCCATATGGAAACAGATTAATGTTTCTAATTCTTCTATTTTTCTGTCGCTTTTCAACTAGTATCCAACACCTATTTTTGTTGCAGATTTGAGATGTTTTTGTAACTTTACTCCAAATTCTGCAATTTTTAGTCACTTGCATACATTATAAAATTACTCTTATTCTCTTGCCCAACATTAAATAGTAAAATTTCAGTAGGCCATTATAGTTAAATCCTTTTATAAATAAAAGATGCAAGTCTGCTATTCTTATTCATATGTGTCAAAAAGGTATATAGAAGTTGAAAAAGTGTAACCAAAATGATACAGTAAGAAACTAGTGGACTTCCTCATTTTTGAGGGGGGCTGCTAAAATAGGTAAGGAGACCATAAATAAGAAAAATAAAATCAAGTTTGATGTGGGTAATGTTGACACGTATACATATTTAAATCCAAGCACTAAAACACTGGGTCTTAGTGGAGAGTTTTTCATACAATGCATACACAATTGTACAATGGCTTTATCTCCAACATGGCGAAAATCACCAATAAGTGGTTTTAAAGGGAAACTAAAATTTAAGCAGGACATGAGTATTCAGAAGACTGGTCAGAGGATTTCCCTGGCTTCTTCAGCTCAGTATTTCTTTTTTGGTTCTGCTCCAGAATCAAACATAACACATCTGATATTGGAACAGTCAGCATTCCTGAGATCATAAGTGAACATGCATTGTTGTGCTGATAGGCCTAAGCAAAACACTTAATTTTGTAGAGAAGCATAATTAATTAATAAAAAGAAGTCAGATGCTTACTTAATACCAATTCTGATTAAATGAAAATCTTTAATATTATAAAATTGTTTTTCAAAAGCAATCTGTAAGATGTTATAAAGCAGGAGTGTCAAACTCTTGTCATCATGGTGGCGTCTCATGACGTATCGGGACTTTTTCCCCCTTTGCTAAACTGGGTGTGGATGTGGCCACTGTGTGATGCATCCAGCCCATAGGCCGCAAATTTGACAGCCCAGTTATAAAGTGTATTAAAATCCATTCAAACTTTATTTTGAACTCAGGATAGTATAGTTTGAAAGTAAGATTACTACTATATGTGATAGTAAACAAAACCATATGGGCAAACTGAGCAAACAAGTTTCCATAATTAGTGATCTGTTGTTAATGTAAAACCAAATGAAATTTGAAGCTTTCCAAATTGCAATGGCCCATTTCCTTAGACTTGTTTCTCCAACCTGAGGATTTCTCCCAGGAGAAACAGCTGTCTGATTTTACTGCTGCTATGGCAACTATGTCATCAGCTGTTGGCTTGGCAACATAGCTGGAGCACAAAGCACAGTTTGGAACACTCCAAAGGCTAAAAAGAAAGCATAGATTTATTTACATTGATGTCTAAAGCAATTTTCACTGCACTTTTATAAATTTTGCAATAAAAAATCCTATACAGTCTTTGTTTGCTAGACGTATCAAATCTTCATAGTTGACATTTTGCAAAGAATAACAGTCAATTCCCTGCAAAATAATTTCAGATGGATCAAATCTCTGTAGCAGTTTCAGCTGCTCAGGTGACAGTCCAGCTCCCATCATGCCTTCTCCTCCAACATGGGGCTCCTTTTAGGGAGGAAAATAAAAGAAACAATTGGTTATTTGACTGGTCATTATTTAATTTAAAATAGAAGCTGATATTTATAAAGGTCAGCATACTAGCTCTACCTTTGCAAGAACATTATTGGAATATTTTTATAGCAGAAAACAGTCTTGCTATAAATCCTCTGTAAAGAACAACGATTCAAAATGATATAAAAAGGATGAAAACCATTCCTCAGCTATAAGAAACCCTAATTTAATGCCAACCAAACTTCAATAGGTACAGTATATTTCTATATATATCATTTTATTAGTATGCTAGTAAAATAGCATAGTAATAAAATAAAGCATAAAATGCTATATTTATTAGCAAAAACTAAATATAGATGAAAAGGGACATGATTATATTAAGTTGTCATCTAAAATAATTGAGTTCCTTTGTTGTAGGTGGAAGCCATTTCCTATGTTAAGTAACATTAAGTTCCTATGTTAAGTGTATTAGTCCTCACTCTCAGAGACCCTTATATGGGAATATGTCTCATAGAATTCAGTTGCCCTTCTGTTATTCAGTTCTTTTGCAGGAGGCAAATTGGTATGCAACATAAGAACTGTCAGATCCACGCCCCAGTAAGCAGGTAGAAAATACAGGATTAGGCTTTTTTAAACTTCTGCGTTTACTGTTCTATACATCACCAACAAACCTAATGCTCCTACTTCCTATTTTTCCCACAACTATCCTTAGACATGAGTTGGGATAACCGAGAGGGGTTCCCCCAAAGTCACTCAGTCAGTTTTCATGCCTAAGGGAGGGAATAGAACTAATCTCATTTAATCTAGCAAATCAATTTTAATACTTAAAATATATATGCTTAATAGAAATGATTATCTGATTTTAATTTGGGTACTAAAAATGCAAAGGCAATTCTTTAAGGCTCAGCAAATTAAGTATAAAATCCACTTCCTTGCCTTACTGGATTCAATACCTCAACAACAGTAATTTATTACAGGAATATATAGTATTGATTGAGCATGCTTTGTACAAAACTCTTCCTGATACTAAAAGCCTATTGCAATACTGTGGGGTTTTTTCTCTAAGGTATAGCCAGCCCCAGCAAAAATCAGATCTTCTGCTTTCCATTTCTAAAGTAGATTGAACTGTTTACTTTCCCTCCCAAAGTATTTCATTTTAGCATTGTACGATTTACAGAAAATGAATTTCAAAAAGAAATAAAACATTCAGTCAAACCCATCCAACTTCTGTCCAAGTTGGCTTCTTAACCATGCAGAGTTTGTTTTAAAACCCACCCAATCTCTAATGTTTACAAAATGCTACACTAGTTTTTTTTAAAGAAATCACATAATAATTGAGGAATGTTTCTTAGCTGTTCAGAACAGGAAGTTGGCTGAAAAGGCTCATTCTAGTTGTGTGCAGTGATAAACCATGGTTTAGCAAGATATACAAATTAATTAATGCCTTCTCAAATGCTCTTTTCTATTTTTTCCCCTTAAACTCTCCAATTTCTTAGAGACTGCCTGAACAAGTCTTTCAGGTTTTTTTGGCAAAGTTTTTTGGAAGTGGTTTGCCATTGCCTTCTTCCTAGGATTGAGATAGAGTGATTAGCCAAATGTCACCCCGCTGGCTTTGTGTACAAGATGGGGGTAGAATTCCTGGTTTCTAGCCTGATGCTTTAACCACAGCAAACTGGCTCTCTACGAATGTAAGCAAAATGTGGAAGAGAGTTTAAAAATTACAAAATATGTTTTCCTAGGTAGCTGGATAAAATTGTTAATTACAAAAAACAAAACAAAAAAAGAAATGATAGATTCTTGGTAACATAATAGATATTTCTTGATCTCAGCTCAATCTTTAAAGCGACTAAAATGGTTGTAATCAGGTGAATTCTTCCACAAGATGTTTTCAACTGACAATGTAATATAAAAGTGTGAAACAAAGTTACATAGATGAAATTTTACAAAGAAGTTTGTTCTTACCTGTGATTTAAGTTGGAGGCAAGGAAAAGTTTCTAGTGCCCAAGCCACTTGTTCTTCGTTCTCAGAAAGAGTAATTGTGCATGTACTATATACTAGGATGCCCCCTGGCTTTAGCAGTTGCACTGCCTAGGATAACAATCAGATTTTCACTTTGTAGAATTTCTGCCAGTATTTCATAAATAACGCTATTTTTTAAAGATATAAATTACAGATATTCCTCAACTTGCAACCATTTACTTAAGAACTGTTTGAAGTTACAATGGTGCTGAAAAAAGTGACATGAGCAATTCTCACACAATCACTGCAGCATCCACATAATCACATGATCAAATTTGGGCCACTTGGCCATTGGTTTGCATTTGTGACAGCTGCATCATGATAGGGATCGTGTGATCACTTTGCATCCTTTCCATCTGGCTTCTGACAAACAAATTCAGTGAGGAAAGCTTAACAACTGCATGATTTATTTAACAACTGCAGTGTGTCTCTTATCAAGAATGGCAGAAAAAGTCACACAATTGGATGCAACTCATTTAATTTAGCAATGGAAATTTTGGGGTCAATTGTGGTTGTAAATCAAGGATTACCTGTAGTTTAAAAGCTTCTCTACAGGTCAATGGCACATTAATTCTAATATTGATGTTCGAAGATTCATGGCTACTAATCATAATGGAACCACCATAGAAATGTTGCTGAAAGTGAAGAACTCTTACTATTTGGCATATATCTCCACAACCTGCCTCTATCCAACCTTTTCTAGCAATACCGTGTCATGGAATGGTAAATATTATTTACCAGGAGATTTTCCCAGAAGATGATCCAATAATTCCCAAATTCTTTCTCCTTTGGGAGAAAAAGAAGAACCTGAAGACAACTTCTCTAAAGAATTGTATGAAAGACTTTACTTTCATTTTGGCTCAATGTCTTCCAATAGACAGCAGAAGACAGCTGAACAAAATAAACAGTTGAAGTTGCAATTGTACTATTACAGCAATTATCTTGATTTTTCCCCTATCCCCTTTTTTCAGGAATTGTTATATAACCAAGGTACAGAAAAGTAAATTTCTTTTAACAAAATTGTTTCCTGAAACTAAACTATTTCTGCTGTAAAGATATGAGAAAACGTTTACCAAACATAATCTTATATCAACACCGTTTGACAGTTGCTTGAATTAATTTTAATAAAATTTATTTCTTTTAAAATAATCCAGTAATCAACTGACAACTCCCAACCATCTTCTTTATATTTTATTTAATAGTTTTTACTTTTAGACATACCACTCTAAAAAGCTTGCGCTGTAAAGGCTGATAGGAAGTTATTTCTTTTAAAGACCATGAATAAGCCAAATTTGGCCTTTGTCCCATTCCACTGCATGGAGCATCAAGAAGTATCCTGTCAAATGACTCGGGTAAGAATGGGGGTCCTTCTGCAAAAAAAATAATAAATCAATATTTCAAAGACTATAGTTTGCATGTTTTGCATAATTGTTATTAATGAAAATTTCTGAGAACTGTTAATTAAAATTCTATGAATCATATCAATTCAATGTAGTTAATATAGTAGAATCTAGTGGAACTAGTTGAACCCTACTGGCATTGGTTCAAAGTCTTTTTAATTAACTGTTATAAATAGCCATTGTATTTGGATGGAATTTTTATTTATCACTATTATTTATTAAACAAATTTATAAACTCTAGCTGCATATATGACTCCAGATGGCTTACAAAATTTTAATTATGGTTGCTTTTGCCTTTCACTCTATTTCTATGTAACGAGAAAATGTTTCCTGTTTAATTGGTATAAAAGTTGATCCAGTCTCCTTAAATCTGTATCATAATGTGAAGTCAAGATTTAATATGTGTATTGAAATCCTGTGTAATAGACCAACACTTCACTTGTATTGATGAAAAATGAATCTAAGTACTAACATTTTGAAGTTACATCTTTGTAGAAAAACAAAATATGTTTATGAAGCAACTGATGTGGAAAGATTAAGTTCATTAAAAAGGCATTCTAAGGATCTGTTGGATAAGTAATTTTCCTACCTTAGCCACCAAAATGCACTACACAATGATTAAAAATACAATAGAACTTTAATAAAAGTAGATTCTTCTTTCTCACTTTTTCCCATCTTATGTAGTCTGAGTTGCTCCTATGAAACTAGTAAGCTTCAGAAATTTTGATACAGGTAGTCCTCATTAATGATCATTTGGTAAGTTACAACATTGCTAAGCAAATGGTAGATAGGACCGGACTTCGAAGTTAGCTGGCAACACTTCCGCAGTCATATGATCAAAATTTGATTGCTTGGCAGCCCATCAGCATTTATTACTGCAGCATACATTTTAATTACCCTACGTATCTATAGCTGCCTTCCCATCTCTGCCCTTTTGGCTACCTACTACTCCACCTCTGCCTACTTCTGCAGCTTTCTGCCCTTCCAGCTGACGTTTGTCTTCTTCCTCCAACTGCTGAGGTGTGCCCAGCCAAGGTCTCATAAGCAGTAGTGGGCTATAACAAGTTTAACAACTGGTTTTGTGAGTGTGCACTTTGCGTGCACAGGTATCTAACACGCTTGTGCGCAGCATTCAAAATACAACAATTTGAAGCTCAGCTGCTTATCTTCTAAGACAGCCCCAGTCAGAACAGCGGAGGTGTAGAAATCAGCTGTCGCGTGAATCAGCTGAGCCAGAAAGAAGGAAATATAGGACATGGGTGGGGCTAGCTGATGGTCAGAACTACCGGTTCGCTAGAATTGCTCCGAGCTGGCAGCAGCCCACCACTGCTCATCAGGCCACATGAAGGCTATCAGCAGAGAAGTGTGATGCCTTTGCCTGATGGCACACAGTCCTCAATCTAATAACTACATGTGACACTACCAGACTATTAGGAGCCCTAGTAGTGTAGTGGTTAAAATGTAGTATTGTGGCTAACTCTGCCCACAGCCTGTCGTTCAATCCTGATGGGCCTCAAGGTTTATTCAACCTTCCATTCTTCTTAGATTGGTAAAATGAGGACCAGATTGTTGAGGGAAATATACAAATAAAGCTTTACATTGTAAACCACCCAGAGAGAGTCCTGTAAAGCTCTATAGGGTGGTATATAACCCTAAATGCTATTGGTACCGGAACTACTGTTGCTAAGTAGGGAGGTCATGTGATACTTTAATGACCTCATCACTTAGCAACAGAAATTCTAGTCCCACTTATATTTGTTAAGCAAAGACTACAAGTACAATTTTAGTCACTGCATCTTATTGTGCCATCCAAGTCAAATTCAAATTATCCTTTATATCATAACCTGTAATTATTCCATGAATAATAGTTAAAAGTCACATTACCTTGTCCATTCTCTATTTTGCTATCAGTAAGTGCCTTAGTACCATCATAACAAAAAGCTTTAATACAGTTCAAATTTAGTAATGCAGCATTTTGTTCGATCTTTTTCACTCTGTCTGCTATCTTGTCCAGCGCTATCACTTCCCCCTAAAAATTAAAAATCAAGTTTTGAATGACATAAATAACTGTTAAAACTGCTAAAGTTTAGAGGTTGATATACATAATTTCAACTAATTAAAGTGCAATGCATAAAGCACCAGATTTACACAATATATAATCTGTTTTATCCCCAATTCAGTACACATCTGTGAAAAGGCTGCCCAAAAGAACATTTGATGCCGGCATCTGAAAGTGTGGTGACTTTCTCCATATATTTGAGTCATCACATCATTCTTCATTTCTTAAGCAACAATGCTTTACTTAATATCATGTTACAGTTTACTCATCACAAACTTCATCAAGACAAAGCAATATATTTCATTCAAATACTGTAACATAGGTCAAGCTGTAATTTTTCCATGTTAATAATCTCTATTAAAAGTCTCTGTGCAGAGGCCCATTAAGTGGTTACACTAAAAACTGCACATTTAGGAATGCAAATGGATAAAAAGAGCAACACCGCACATAGACACTTAAGTTAGAACATTATTTCTGTGTTTCAAGATTGTGTTCTGAGTACTGGCAATTTCTCCATGCTGGAAAACTAAACAGTTCAGTAAACACAACAGCATTACATGTACATTACTGTACATCCAGGTTATAATTAGAACTACGAATTAACTGGAAGCACAGTGCCAAACAGCACAGCTCACATAAGTAAAATTATCATATGGGTATACCAATGTTCCTCACTGCACATACTGATGCTGCATTTTGAAACTTCCAAGTGATCTTCAAGAACAGCCCCATGTAAAATGCATTGCAGTAATCAAGTTGTGAAGTGACATGGGCTTGAATGACCATCTGAAGACCCGTGTGATCCAAGAAATGATGAAACTGAGTACTACATGGAGATAGCATAGCATACTTTATTGCGGTCATAGACCAAAAAAACCAAAACATCCAAGACACATAGCTGGCACACGACCAGACTGAAGTGCAAAACGGCAACAAGATCAGTGATGGAATCCACTCCGTCAAACTCACAGTTCATGGAGATGTTCAAAGGCCCTCTTAGCCAAGGCTGCCATCAAGTAAGAACTGTGAATTCAGGAGGAGGATCCCTAGATTGCACATCACCCTTGAATAGGAAAGTCTAATTCCATCCAAGGGTAAAAATGAAAAATTCCCAGATCTAGCTGACCTAATATTCACAACCATTCAGTTCTGATAATTTTGAATCAATTTCATTGATGTCCCTCCAGTGGTGAAATCTAAAATTAGTTACTACCCGTTCTGTGGGCGTGGCTTGGTGTGTGTGTGGGGGGTAATGTGACTGGGTGGGCGTGGCCAATTTATTTTTTTACTTTTAAAACCATTTTTTCTACAACCTCTTCGGTGAAGAGGTTGTAAAAAAATGCTTTCAAAAGGCTCTGATGATCCCAGCTGAGTTGTCTGATCAGCAGAGGGTTTTTTAAAAACCCTCTGCCGATCAGGCAACTCAGCTGGGATTGTCAGAGTTTAGATCGTCAGAGGCATTTAAAAGAAAAATACTTTTTTCCTTTTAAGTGGCTCTGATAATCCAAGCTGAGTTGCCTGATCGGCAGAGGGTTTTTAAAAAACCTCTGACGATCAAGCAACTCATCTTGGATCATCAGAGCCATTTAAAAGGAAAAAAACTCTGATGATCACGTGGCTCAGCTGGGCATTTGGGGGAGGGCAGGGATTTTTGCTACCAGTTCTCCGAACTACCTGCCTCCATCGCTACTGGATCGGGCAATCCGGTCCAAACCGGGAGCATTTCACCCCTGCGTCCCTCCCTATCCAGGCCAAACAGACTTCAAGCATTGAGACAGAACCTTGGCAGCTCAATTGGCTTGCCTGGGGTCAACAAATATAACTGGTATTATTAGCTGAGTGATGATACTGAACCGCAACTGGCCAGTAAACTAATGGTTTCTTGTAGATGTTGAACAGGAGGGGAGAAAGTGTCAAATCCTGTGTTATCCCACAAAGGAGGACGCAGGGGTATAATCTATTCTCCTTCAGCCAACACCAACCAGAATGGCTCTGGAGGTAGGAAAAGAACCATGTAAAACAATGCTCCAAACTGCTAATGTTTGAATCCAATCCAGATGGATACCAAGATTGAATGCATAAAGACTTGCCATTAAATCAAGGAGCACAAGAAACAATGCACCACCTCTATCCAGGTCTGCCACAGATTATATATACAAGTCCAACTGAGGCTGATTCCACACTACATACTGAAACCTGAATAATATGGAACATGATAATCTACTTTTTTCCAGGGGCATTTGCAACTAACATGGGAAGATTGGAGACAAGTCAAGTTAACCAAATGGCTGGATCCAGATATAGTCTCGAGGAGGGGGTGCACTACCACTTCTTTCAAGGGCAATAGCATCACCCCCTTTCTCTACCACCACAGCACAAATAATTTTCCTGCTAACGACCTAGGAAGCCCAATAAGCAGATTGAAAACTAAGTAGCCTTCTTCAAGAGTCACCAGTTCAATTCAACTCAGATTACACCCCAAGACTCATCCATCAGTCTATAAACTCATAGTTCATTGGACTGCTCACTTGAAAGTTCTTAGTTTCCTGACATTTTTAGTTGCAATAATTTTTTCCTAAATTTGTATTATGTCAAAATCTGCCTACTCTTTCTCCAAGGTAAGAGTCCAGAGTTTTTAAAAAAACTGATGGCTATTTATGGCTTATAGGCATCATGTGGTTAGGTAGGATAGGGCCACATTCCAAAAATGAAAGAAAAAAAAAAGATAAATCAGGACAGAAATTGAATTTAAACACATTTAATTTTAATTAAATGTATACCTGTCACATGTTTCTGGGCATAGTTTAGAAAAGCACCTATTTTCATGTTAGCATTTATTGCTTGAATTAGTAGATTTGTGGTAACTAAGCAAGATCAATGTCCCTTTAGCAAATCTGTATACCTTGTCTGATTAGAAAACATACATAAATTTCAAGTATGAATGCTATTTTGAATTATCTGTGCATTTCAGCCAATGTGTGAAATAAGCTATGCTAATAAAATACAAACAAGCTTCTTGGAAGAAGGAAGGAGAGAGAATGAGAGAAAGAAAGAAAGAAAAGGAAGAAAAGAAAAAGAAAGAAAGAAAGAAAGAAAGAAAGAAAGAAAGAAAGAAAGAAAGAAAAAGAAAGAAAGAAAGAAAGAGGAAGGGAGAGGGAAAGAGAGAGAAAAAGAGAGAGAGAAAGGAAGGAAGAAGGGAGGGAAGGAAGGAAGGAAGGAAGTAGGTAGGTAGCTATGGTGACTCACCTCATCATGCATTAGTGTTGCAAGGTGGGTAGTTTTGCCCCCGGGAGCAGCACACATATCCAAGACTCTCTGTCCTGACTGAGGATTTAAAACATAACTCACAATTGATGAAGGCAAATTCTAGCAAAGGAAGTGGTAAAAAAAATATTTTAATAACCCAGAGATCAGAAAAATACTGGAATATTTTTTCTGAATCTATGCCTGATCTTTCTTCTAAGAATCTAAACTGTCTGCTCCTGAATGCTTGTTTTAATTCTAAAAACAATCGTCCCAAATTAATTATATGGTTGTCTGGAAAAACTGTAAATAATAAAAACCAAGCCTCTTTTGATATAAGAAACTATTCCTTTAAAGTCAATATTTTTTCTTCCTCAGAGTTTTTGATAGGTAGATAATACTTGGTCTGACTTCTATGGTTGGCTCTTATCCTTTTTTTTATTGCTTTTAACTTATGATGCAGCTGTAACTATGTTTCTCTGTCACATTGTGTCTTGTAAACTGCTCTGAGTTGCTAAGTGATATAAAAGTTTAATAAACAAATATATGGCTGAAAGTTCCAAATCCAAGCACTCTCCTTATGGCAGGTAAATATTCTTGCCCTTAACTGGTAGATAAAATACAAGTAAATAACTGAGAATTTATGCACATGAGAGAGGTACCTGAACAAAATGGTTGGTATGGGGAATATGGCTACCCTCAGTCTGGTAAGGCTGTTCCTCATGGTATTCTCTAGCCTCATGATGGCAAAACTATGGCACGTGTGCCGAAAGAGGCATGAAGAGCCATCTCTCTGGGCACGCGAGCCATTGTCTGTTGCTCTTCCGGGTCCCGGCGCACCGGCCAACTGGTCTTCATGTGCACAGGAGCGCAGGAGACTGGAAGAGCAGCCATCTGGTGTGCATGTGCATACCAGGAAGATGATCTTCCAGTTTCTGATGCACGCATGTGCACCGGCCAGCTGGTCTTCATGCATATATGCGTGCTAGAAATCGGAAGACCATGTGGCCGGTGCGCATATGCATGCTGGAAACCGAAAGATCAACTTCCAGGTGCACACATGCACACTGGGTGGCTACTCTTCCGTTTTGGGGGGCGCACATGTGCACTGGACAGCTTGTCTTTACACATGCATGCACGCCAGAAACCAGAAGATCATCATCCTGGCATGTGCATGCGCACCGGGTGGCTGCTCTTCTGGTTTCTGGCATGCGTGCATGCGCTCCTGTTTCAGCACTCTGTGCCAAAAAGGTTGTTTTGTTCTAGCCTCTCCCATTCTCTATGCTCTGTTCCTCCCTCTTTCCTTCCCTCACCATACTTCCAAACCAAGTCTTCAGATACACTCATCCCCTTTTTCATTTTCTAAGCCTGCCTATAGAAGTTAGATGAGACCCATAGGCACTGTTAGAAATAATAAAAGAATGATGCTTGATCTTTTGCAGGATGAGTCCTTCTGGTTCATTTTGAATTTAAAACATTTAAAACAAGTAACATGTGAAACAAAATCCTGATGGATGCCAAGTATCGAAAGACTCAAACATTATACCAACAATACTTTAGTAGATTATACTGATACTGAAAATGAAGTTCCTGGTAAACTTGAAATGGATTATATTGCAAGGTTAATATTTTTTTTTAAATTAACACCTGGCAACTTGTGAAATACAATTCTTTAGGTGGGAACACAATAAATTGGGAAATGTCTCGCTGTTACTTTAAATGTACAAATGACACAACAATGTATTAAATATTAAATTCTACTTTTCTCCATAACGTTTGATCTTTACAGCAAGGATTGGAGAAGTAGTCTTCCTAATCCTGATGTTTTCTGCAAGCAAACCTTGGAAAAAGCATCATGATGAGCTGATATACTTCCCTGAACTCTTGAACTGGAATAAAAAAGGAAATCCTAAACACCAAAGCATTTCACAAGAAGTACTACAGAAAATGGAAATCCAGCTCACTCCCAAACAAATGTATCAAATATAAAAATGCTACAATCTGATCATATACATTTGGATTTCAAGTTAAGGTTTTTATTAGTTTACATGGCCTGTTGTTTCTGGCTTACCATGAGGTATGAATTCAGCCATATCACTATAGTATCTAAGCAATGGCTATGTAGTATATGCAAATCCAGCCAGTATACTTTATCCCAGGAATGTACAAGTAATCCTCAACTTATGACCACAATTAAGCGCAAAATTTATGTTGCCAAGTGAGAAATTTGTTAAGTGAATTTTGCCCCATTTCAGGACTTTTTTTGCCACATTTCTTAAGTGAATCACGGCAGTTGTTAAATTAGTAACATGGTTGTTAAGTGAATCTGGATTCTCCATTGACTTTGTCAGTGTTGTGACACCGACTCCCGAGCCTGTCCTAACAGAGGAAGAGGACTCAGAAGGTGATGGGGAGGAACTGACAAGGCCTCCCTCTCCAGGACCCTCCTTTCTGTCAATGCCTCAGGTTCCATCCGAAGGCCAGGAGAAACAGCCTGGGATGTGCCAGGAGAAAGGCATATCGGAGCACCAATTGATAGGGAGCGAGGAGGATGAATCCTGGCTTGATCCCAGGCAGCGTCGGAGGGAGAAGTGTGCGCAGCAATGGAAGAGGCGTGGGAGGGCCAGAGATTGAGCTGAGTCACGGAGCCATGCCCCACCAGGAATAAAAGTGGGTGGGATTGCTCTTCAGGCTTTCTGACGGACAAAGTTAAACCCTGAAAGTCACATCGTGATCTCTGAAATTCGGCTTGGATATATTTTGGACTGAACATTGACTAAACTCTTGTCTCGTGGATAATTTGTTGCCCCTGGAATGGACTGAAGATAAGTCCTCTTCTGTGCTTTATGGAAGTGAAACCTGTCTTGGCAGGTATTCGGCAGTTTGCTGCCAAAACCTTGGTCTGCCAAGAATTCTAATCTGTTTACCTAATAAAAAATTGGCAGGCGTGCTTGGTATTATGTTTGCCTGTGTGAGGAAGGGGGACAGAACAGTCATAAAGTTGCAAAAGGGGATCATATGACCACAGGACACTGCAATCGTCACAGATGTGAATCAGCTATCAAGCATCCGAATTAAAATCATGTGACCCTAAGGATGCTGCAATGGTCATAAGTATGAAATATGGTCATAAGTCACTTTTTTCAGTGCTGTTTGAATGGTCACTAAATGAACTGTTGTGAGTCTAGGACTACCTGTATTGAAACCTTAATGCTCAGAAAATAGTATTTATTTTGAATATAACATACCTGTAAAAATATGTAACTGGATAACATATTGTCAAATGAGGGACTATGGTAAATTGGTTCAGTCATTTTTATTCCCAGTCCTCTGAAAGACATACCACAGGAACATGAATACATTGTCTGCTCCTCATTTCTAATTTGACATTATTTAAATGTACATTACTTATTGGGGGATATCAGATAATACATGCTATTAATTTAACACATTCTGTTTTTACTTTCAGGAACATTAATTAGAGGATAAACCCTTTGAATCCATATATTTTCAATTTAGTATAAAATTTCTTCTCTCAAATGGGTTTGTTAGGTGTGACTTAATTGAAAACAGATTGCTGTCATTGTAAATAATATCAAAATAATGTTCTTCCATAGGAATGTGTCTTGTAGTTTAGTTGGTTGATTTGTATAATTTTATTGAATGCTCTCACCAACATATTATTCAAGAACCCTAGGGAAATTCTTGTGAGATTTCTAAAAATGTTGCTTCTGTACCATTAAAAGCATACAATTATTTCTTATATGTTAAATAATCCAATGTGTAAAACTGATTACACTCAGTCCCTGAGCCTAATAAAACCTACAGGCTCCATATAGCATTAAGAATAAGGAAAAATATTGGGAAAGTTACTTTGAGTTCTAGGAGAAAAGTGGGATGCAAATGATAATGATAATGAAGATGATGATGAAACTATCATAACTTAGAGTCCATACCAATTCCATATCAATATCTATTTGTTGTCCTTTAAATAAATTCCTAATTCTTATTTTCTGTAGACTGTTTCTACGTCTTCTTTCATCCCTGTTGTGGAATGCAACAGAAATGGAAGTCCTTTCCAAGTCAACAATATAACATGAAAACAATTGTGTTAGATTAAGTTAAATCAATACTACAATTTCTAACCACCCAGAATTGTCCCACTTTCCAAGACTAAAGATATCAGCTGAGAGAAAATTAATAAAAGAGAATATCTGTAGCTCAGGGTTGACATGAGGGGTCCTTGGTGCTCTCTGACCTTGCTTGCTTTCTTGCAGATGTTTCATTACCCAAAATAGGTAACATCATCAGTGCTAGTCACTAGCAGCCACTACGGGTAGCATCAATGATGTTACCTAGTTTGGGTAATGAAACATCTGCAAGAAAACAAATAAGAGAATATTAATCACTAATTGCAAAGAAAGTCTTCAGAGTTGTTTTAAGATAATATTGACTGAACATTTCAATATTCTTAAGATTTTTAAAAAAGGCAGCAAAAAAAAAGAGAAGGAGTAAAAATCAAAATGTACTGTTAATTGATAAATAACTGCAATGAACATGAATAAATGCTTCATACTGGGCAGAATAGTTAGAACACTATAAATAGGGACATACTGAACTGTTGCAATCTGACTGTAACAACAGTGAGGCATATATTATTCCTAATACATTTATTAATTTGGTTGAAAAATATAGCATGATTCAAGTAAAGAATGTCCCAGAGCTTTTTAAATCAATAAAATTGTTCCAGAGCTACATCTTGATAAAAAAAAAATTTCTGAATAAATTCAATACATATAATTTGTGTATAACTACTGTATATATAATTTTTGATAATCTTTATAAATGTATATTCATATTTAACCATTTAACCAAAGGCAATAGGGTACCACTGGAAGGAATCTAGTAGCATCTTTTTCAACACGTTTTATTAAAAAGCGCAAGCTTTTATGAACTGTCTTTCAATTTTTTGCTACCATAAACTTATATGACTCTCCTACTACAGCGGCTATTATCTGATTCTTTTTTATTCAGGCCTTAATCATGCTCAATTTTTTTGTTTGCTAGTAGAGAAAATCTCCATCTCCACTATTTTTAATTATTAATTTTAATAATATAAAAAGTAAAACAATTTTAATTATTGCTTAATCTAGCCATGTCCTTAGTGAACCTACAGTACTATCAAGGCTGCAACAGACTGTTATAAAAAAGTACCCCCCATGATTAACTATGAGCTACTGTATTTATTTGTTTGTTTGTTTGTTTGTTTGTTTGTTTTTGCTTTAATTTATATGCCGCCCTTCTCCGTATTACTGAAGCATAGAGCCCAGATCAGAAGTATCTGAAAACTGATCCTCAAAGATTAGTTCCTATGAGATTTCTTGGTTTCTGATGATATCTGAGAATAATTTATTTAACTAAGTAAGGAACTTTTCAATTTAAATCCAAATCCATACTTTTGCACTGATGTTTAAAACAAAAGGCTATTTAATTCAGTATCCTGACCCTCTATTACCAATCCAAACATTTTGGAAAGCTCACCAAAGAGAAGAAAAACCCAACAATATCCTCTTGCAATGGTACCTTTCATATTTGAAGACCAAAAGTGGAAACCAAGAGGACTGATGACAACTCCATAAAGCATAAAAAGTTACAAAGGTATTTATCAAACAATAAATGTATACTACTGAAATTGGCATCTTGGGTTTTAACTTCTAAATGATCTTTGTTCAGAACAAGCAGATTCAGATTCAATTTTTTGTTGAAAAGCCTAACATTAGAGAAATAAACCCAGCAGGAATTTGGGCTAAAGTATATATCCTTTCAGTGTGTTAAAAAATAAAATTAGTTGGATAGTGAGATGACTTACAAATAGCAGTAGCTTTCTACTAAAATAAGCAATTTGGGACAGATTTTCAACCATGATTGTACACTTCTGACTTACTTCAACGGGCCATTAGAAGTAAATATTTCATTGCGGCTCAGTTCTGAAATCCCATTTCCAATGAAAACTTTATTCCCGGAAAACTCTTTGGCTCCTCTTTTGCATTTCCCTTCAATATCAGAGTACACAGAAACCACACTGCCAGCTTTCATGACTGGGGAAAAGAGAGGGAGAGACATCTTTGGATTTTTGTTTTCCTTGGCTCAAGAACAAAGATCCAGACATTCACTGGAGATTTTGTGAGTCCACATACTCGAACTCCATGTGTCCAAAAGAATGTACTTGAGTCAAGATAAGCTCTGGAAAAACATCACTGATGTCTATTCCAGATGCAGACTTGGCAATAAGTTTTAACTTACATAACTTTTAAAGAAATACATCCTACTGTTTAATCCTCAAGAAATATGAATGTTCTAACATCATAGGCTTGCCGATTATGAAAGGGGAAGGGAGGGACGGTAGAATATTTTGGCTGAACCAGTCATCTAAATCAGGGTATGAAAATAAGATCATAAACAAATAAGCAGGATGTAAATAGGCATATGGGTTTTGAAGAAGCAGGATATAAAGTATATTGACACTGTTGAATTGCAGTGTTGGAAAAGACTCCCGAGAATACCATGGATAGTCCAGAAAACTGGATCCTAAAATAAATCCTAAAACTGGATCCTAAAATAAATCCTAAAATAAATCAATCCAGAATTCCAACTCAAGATACCAATGACCACATTCAAATTACTCTACTTCAGCCATATCATGAAAACTTAGGTCTCTGGAGTGGTCCATGCTGGGAAACTTGGAAGGAAAGAGAAGAGGTGACCAGACATGGGTAGATAGCAACAGCAATAAGACTTATATACAACTTCATAATGCTTTATAGCCCTCTCTAAGCAGTTCACAGCATCAGCACATTGCCCCCAACAATCTGGATCCTCATTTTACCGACCTCAGGAGGATAGAAGGCTAAGTCAACCTTGACCTACTCAGGATTGAACTCCTGGCAGTGAGCAGTGAATTAGCAATGCTGCCTTCTAACCACGGCGCCACCAAAGCTTCTAGATTACTGAAAGACTTGAAGGGACAGATTGGGAGTCACATTTTCCTAGAGAAAATGTATCTATGTGAACCACTTGATGGTGCATAATCAATTAAAAAGGTATGAGAAAACATACATGGAAAGAGTGATGAAATGGATATTGGTAGGGAGATAGTTGAAAATTCAATTTTAACATTAATAAATTAAAATTTATCAAAATGGCCACAACAGAATACAAATCTAAAAAAAAATAAGATGAAAGGTATATTAACAAAGGGAAAGCACATGTTAACACTTAAAACAATTTTCTATTTTCTCTATACATATATATGTATTATAAACACAGACAAAATCTTCTATGATTTGAGATTGTGCTCCTGTGGGCTAGAGGTGTTGAAACTACAGCTCATTCCTGCCATCTTACAAGTTCTTTCCCATTTAAAACAGCTGGCAAATTCTAACCTTGCTTTTATGTACAGTAGTTACCATAACAGTATCAATCAGTCTCCTTGAATGTAGCTACATTTTGTTATGCTGCCTGTAAAATTAGGCAGACTTTAATGAACCCATCCACCGTTGTAATAATTTATCTTATTTTGTTTTTACTTTATATTTAACTTATTTTGTTTGCAATTCTAAACAATGACCAAAATAAAAAAATATTCATTAAACATACACAATCACTCTTACATTTTGAAGCAGATATAATCCCAGGAGCATAAACATGTGCTCCACGAAGCACTGCACTTCCACATTGTGCATCAACAATTACTTCATTTGGCAATCTTTGCAGATCCCTTCTGTAACGGAACAATGATATTTAAATAGAATTAGTTTATTAATATTACTTTTTTAAAAAGCTAACTTGACCACTTCCCACTCCCAGCTAGTTTTTTTTTCCTATTTATCGAAAGTGCATTTGCTTTCTAGCTTTTTAATTTCATTTGAAGCCTTTCAATTTTAAAGTTGCAGCTTATAATAATTGTATGTAAAAGTCACATTAAAGAATGTAAATATGTGTTTCATAGAACTAAGGAGTTATTTAAAAAGAAGTAACATTTAGAAAGGCCACATTATTTATTGATAGCTAATCACACATATGATCTGTTTCTAGATGCCTGAAATATAACTACATAGAGCTCCTGTTTTGATTGAGTGAAGATGCTTCAAAACAGGAGTCCCCAATTTCCGGGCTGTGGATCAGTACCAGCCCGTGGCCTATTGAGAACTGGGCCATGGAAGCAGCAGTCGAGCGTGTGAAGCTTCATTTGCACATGCATGGGATTCAGGTTGAGCATGCAAAGCCATCCCTTGCCCCCTACTGCTGCCACCGCTGCCAGTCCGTGGGAAAGGTTGGGGACTGCTGTTTCAGACACATGGTAGAACAAACACAGCACCTATCTGAGACTTATTACAGCAGGTGCATCTGTTTGCAGTATCTCTATATGACAGTCAAGCAATCCTAAAAAAAGATTGAGGTACTTTAGTGCTTTAATGACTTTCAGGCAGGTGCTGCATTAGCGCTCTTTTGTGTTCTGAAGCACTTCTTCATAATCCAATCCAAAACTCTGCAAATTGCTAGTAATTGCAATTTCTCCCCATCATGCATCACAGCATAATAAATATTAAATATTAAAACATTGACATTCTAGAGAAAGAGATTTCAGTTATGCTTTCCTTTCATCCTCCAGAAGAGAAATAAAAAACCCAAGTTACTGATAAATAAATAACTGTTTTGAATAGGATAAAAATATTTCAAATTATCTTTGGTTCATCTTTTGTCCGAGAATGCAAAAGCTTTATAAAATCATGGTATGAATCTGGCCTGCTTGAAACCGTTTGTCAGATTTTATCAAAGAAATGTGAGGGATCATCCATGGAAGGCAAACACTAAGCTCAAGATTTGCTGTGATTTATCTCCTTCGTATCAAATTATTGTTAATATTCATTAATAATGATTATTATTAATTCCATCTTGATAAGCAGGGATAATGGACATATATTTTTCATGTATCAGCTGTATAATCAAAATCAGGATTGTCTAGGAATGCTTGAAGTTCCCTAGAATGAAATTAAACCCAAACACACACACACAAACCTGGGTCCAAGAACAGGAATTAGTAACATGTCAGGAAGTTCTGGATGTTGTAGAACTGGAACACTAAGATTTTCATATTGCTGTAAGTTGAAGGGGAGTACATAATAGTTATAATATTATCTCTAATATTTTCAGTAAACAGAGATATTTATGGTCAAATAAGTAGAGACTGTACTGTATAATAATACCAGTGTCTGCAGGAGAGTCAGCATCATGCAGATTTTGATCTCCCAGTGGATCGTACAACTTGCAATGACATGCTTCCTTTCAGAATTCAAAGATACATTCATTAATCTGCTTCAGATCCTACCAAAAATAAGTAGGTTTCCAAATGGAATTATACTATAGACATTTGCCCAATGTTACATAGCACTTAAATTTTCTGCACTTGTGAAAACACCTATTTGGACAAAGTCCCTCTCTCTATATAGAAATTCACAAAGTGCAAAAGGATATCTGAAAGATGGGTTATGTAATACATTCTAGTTCATTTACAGTTGACAGTACAGTACAGTACAATGCATACAGTAACAGTTGAAGGAATGCTTTTCTCATACATTATTAGCAAGCACAGAAGTAGCATGCTGCTGAGTACCTTCGTTTAGGATACACTTAATGATCCACATATATCTAATAGCAAAATGAACAATAGAGTCCCTTTTGGGGATGCTTGATAATGGAAAGGAATGCAAGCAATAATATAGTTCCATTTCTTTTTTAAAAAAACCACAATGCTGATTATTTTCACTGTTCACTGTATGCTAGCCTACTAAGGAAAGCTTTAGCATAAGATGATTCTAAACATATCCTTGCTTTGCACTGACTCCCTTTAAATGCTGACATGTCCATTATTTATTTATCTCTACAGAAATAACCAGGATTTGCCAAGGCAGATATACTGACATTACATAACCATCTGCTTTGCAGATCAAATAATATAGAGCAAATGTTCTTGAAACAAAGATAAGGATAATTCTTTTAAAAAGAAGAAAAAAGTTCTGAGGTGATATTTTAGATCCTATCCTTGAATCAGAAGGAGACATTGTGCTACTAGTAGATTTAGGTCTTAAAATAAGGTATTCTGGAGCTGGAGAAAAATAATTATCCAATGCCTCTTTGGTCTGCTGAGTAGCCCCTGATTTAGGTTTACCAAGCATAATAGGCTGAGGAAAGCCAATTTTGCTTTACCGGCCATAAAAAGCAGCTTTCTTTTTTAAAAAAAGTCAATGGTGCAATCTAACTCCATTTCTTACCTGCCTCAGCATGCCACAGCAGTGTTTTAGAACTGCAGGTAGTCCAAAACATCACTTTACTCCTTCTCTTGATGTTGCATTCTTTCACTCTAATTTATATGCAATTTATTTAATTTCTTACAGGCTATGCCAGTAACTGATTTTTTGAAACGCAAACTTATCCAATACTTCAACAAAACTTCTAAATAAAAGCATTAGCAATTGCAATTTTTTAAATTATTTCTAAAATTAAAATTGTAATAATTTGGCTTTATTTTATATGCAGTACCCTTGGTTACCAGTAGTGCTCAATTTACGTTGTTTAACTATAGTTCAAAATTAAAGGAAAAAATGACTTATAATTGTTCCACTGCCCCAATGATATAATATGAGCACAATTTGGGCACTTGGCAACTGACTTGCCTTTAAGATCAGGTGCAGTCATGTGATTGCAGTTTGCAACTTTTGACCATTTATAGCAAAAAGCGCTCATTGGGGAAACTGGATTCACTTAATGACTATGTGATTTGCTTAACAATCACAATGATTTGCTTAACAACAACCATAAAAATTTCATAAAATTGGTTCTGACATGACTTGCAACTACAATGACTTATGGCAAAAATTCCAGCCTCAATTGTGGTCGTAAGTCAAGGAGTACCTATATCCTCAACTAACTATTAAGTAGATAAAAAAGGAAATAAAGGACTAACTAATAAGTAGATGAACAAGGAGGTAAAGGAAATAAAAGACTGACCTTTTGGATCTCTTTGGAAAGCAGATGTCTTATATATTCTACAGAACCCAAATGTGTGTTTACCCGAACACTGGTAAAAGCTGGTGGGTGCGCTAGGTTATTTAACAAGGACTCATATTTATCTTCTGCTTTCAGTGGACCAATACAAGTTGTAATCTTAAAATAAAAGTAAAGAAAGAAAAGAAATTTAATCAATCAATAATGGCATTTTATGGTATAGTCATAGTACTTTAGATTTATAAGCTATTTTAACTTATAAATCTTTAAATTATATCTTTAATTTATAAATTTAAATAAGTAATTTATTTAGAAACTAAAAAAATTGGAACAAGTTAAAATAAATTTCTTGAGATAAAAGGATTTATAAAGTACAATTTTCTTCTAGAAGTTCATTTGATGTTTCACAATTGTGACACAATGGTTTTTATGTTTAATTGTTGATAGGTATATTAATTTTAACTAATAATTCTATTGTTACTTAATGCTAACTACTACAGAGCTGGCTTTGTGGGAATGTGTAGGCAAAAGAATTGGAAATATTTTTCTTTTAAATATACTTAATTAAATAAATTCAGCTGTATACATGTAAAGATATCATGAAATTGCCCATATGCTTGCTAAGTTAAATCATAAAGTATGGGTAGTCCTTGACTGATGATCACAATTTAGTCCAAAATATATGTTGCTAAGTGAAACATTTAAGTGAGTTTTGTCCCATTTTATGACTTTTCTTGCCATTGTTGTTAAGTGAATCATTGCAATTGTTAAATTAGTAACATGGTTGTTAAGTGAAACTGGTTTCACCATTTAGTTTGCTTGTCAGAAGGTTGCAAAATCACATGACTCCAAAGAACTGCAATAGTCATAAATATGAGTCAGTTACCAACCACCTGAATTTTGATCATGCTTCAGTGGTTATAAGTGTGGAAAATGGTCATGTCACTTTTTTTTAGTGATGTTGTAACTTTGAACAGTCATTAAATGAATTGCTGTAAGTCAAGGACTACCTGTAATATTATTGTTTAATAAACATCTTTAGCATCAATATATTTTATCTAAAAACATAAGTAGCTTGAATAAAAAGGTACCTCATTATATTTCTGATAAATATTTATTTATCATTTATTCTGATAAATAAAATTTTACCTCTCAGCATTAAATATTGTCGTCTTCTTTCAGACATTTTCTTCCTTTGACTAGGCCTGGGTATTCCTCCCTGCCTCATTTACCATATGTACAATAGTAATTCTATATACTTATTCTGAATATTTATATTTCACTTTGTAGCAAGATCAAGTTGGATTAAATAATAAATTAAAATAAAATCTCTATTATTTAAAATGGGTAGTGTGACACATATTAATTCTAGAAGCAACATTACTATTCTCAGAGACACCGTCCATATTTACTGATTTATAATACCATCATTTGGACAATATCAATCCTGACTCCATCATGACAGGTTGCCAATGCAATAGTCTGGTAATCCAATATATCAGTAGCTGTTTATAGCCCTGAAGAATGCAGTAATTATAAAAACACAACACTGTATTTTTTTTTTCTAATCATATAGAGAGCTGTACAGAATCGTAATAGAAAACAACAGTGTCAGTACAATACGAACCAGTATTATAAATTAAGTTCCACAGGACAGCATTCTGATAACTGCAACCTAATTTTGCTTGGTGCGTTGTATTTTAATCAACCAGAGTAGTACTTACCTCATCATTTTTAAATGTAGCCCTGAGATATTCCTCAACCTCTGGTTTCAGTAAGATTTTGCAGAAAATAGACATAGCTCCAATCTATTTTCCTTTTTTCTCAGGGAAACATCTGTAATAAGCAATGTATTATTTCATCAAATATGCACTTTTAATAAGCTTAAAACAAAATCAGATGTTAATACATTTTTCCACAGACAATATATATGGCTATATCAGGAGGCCTATTGAAGAAAGGTAATTGTCTTCCCATCAATAGATGTTATTTTATCAACAAAAGTCTTGTTTTACATATAATATGAAGCAGTATATGGTTGTATGGTTATAATTTAGCATACTATATCTATCGTAGTTTTTAACCATTATTTATGGTTTAGCATATTTATGTGTAGATTTATCCAGTGGTGTTTATTCAGTAAACCATGATTAAACTCAATATGAATTGAATTTATATTGAATTTATGAATGGATGAAACAGTTTAAAATTTAACAAACTTTTATTTCATATTACATCCTGATGATTACACATGTTATGGTATCACATAATTTATGGAGTAACATAATAGTCTCTATTATTAAACTAATTCCATTTATATTTTGATTTTCTACCCAGACACTCAAAATAATATTACAATTTATTTGATATGTCTAGAAGCATCTTGCACTCAATGGAATACCTTGATTTTTATTTAACCATTTATTTTATATCCTGCCTTCTATTCAAAGCCACAAGACAGAATTTACTTCTAACTGATCAAATTAAGACTAACCAGTAAATTAGTTCTTCTGGAGGAAAGTTTGAAAAGGCATTTGTGATGAGCCAAAACTTCAACCCTATTTTCCCAAATCATTTGCTCCTAAAACTGCAGGTTTACTTGTTTTTTATCTCTGAAGTTGGCAACTGGAATCACATAGCATGAAATTAGATGTGGAATGGCCAGTTGCTAATCTGTAGTTTTACAGCTAACTATTGCTAAAAAAAAAAAAAATGTGTATCAATCCCCTGGGAGCTTGAACAGGACTCTTCTTACAGTGTTTAAAAATAATGCTTAATGTCCATGCAGTGCTTTCAGGTGTTCAAAGAGCTTTACATGCAGTATTTGGTTATGAACTCTGCAAAAAAAAAAGGAAACCTTTCCAATTATATCTCAATGTTTTATTTATTTGTATCCCTTTATTATTTTTACAAATAACTCAAGGCAGTGAACATATCCATCACATCTTCTTCCTTCTATTTTCCACACAACAACCCTATAACATCCCAAAGTGCTTTTTTCAAAATGCAAACTTTCTTAGTTTTTTCTCTCTGAAAACATTTTGCTTCTTATCCAAGAAGCTTTTTCGGTTAGACAGCAACACCACCCAGCTGACTTTCAGGACTAAGGCACAGCAGAACTCATGGTCTCCACGTTTTAAGCCTGGTTCCTTAACCATTAGACCAAACTGCCTCTCCCTTTAGCCCCTAAGCTGCAAATTGGAACAATCAGATACACTCCTTACTGCTCTCTTCCCACTTGTTAACCCTCCAGATGTGTGGATTTCAGTTCCATAATTCTCCAGCCAGCATAATCATTACTCAGTATACAGTACTATGAGCTCAAGTTCTAGAAGTGGAGTATGAAAAGTTGGGTATTTTGACTGAATACGACAGAAGTTATATCTTTTCAGTGCTATAACTGACTGTGAATCCAATTATAATTAACAAAGAGAACCTCTTCCATCTCTTGAAATGAAATTGAATGGTATCTGACTGTGTTTCAAGCCTTGGTATTTGTCCCTCTTTCAACGATATGTAGTCTGGCATTGTTCTTTGGTTGGAATAACTATTATAGTAGTTTCCACCAACTTGATATGGGTAAGTCTTATACCGTATCTCACAGGCAACAAGGTTGGCAAAGCAATACAGGTAATTGATTTAAAACCATTTATTTAGTGACTATTCAAAGTTACAATAGCACTGAAAAAAGCAACTTATGATTGTTTTTCACATTTATATCCCTTTGTAGCATTCCCCATGATCACATGATCAAGATTCAGCAACTGGCTCAAATTTTTGATAGGTAGTGTTCTGGGGTCATGTGATCACTTTTTGCAACCTTTTGATAAAATGGGAGAGTCATATTCACTTAACAACTTTGTTACTAACTTAACTGCAGTGATTCACTTGACTAAGGCAAGAAAGATTGTAAAATGGGGCAAAACTCACTTGACAACTGTTTTGCTTAGCATCAGAAATTTTAGGCTGAATTGTGATCACAAATTGAGGACTACCTTTAGTACATTATTCACCAGGTTCCTAACTTTTGTCTTCCAAGGACCTTTTCTGAGTGGCTCTTTGCAGAGGTTAGAGAGGGAACGACTATAAAAGGCCTTCTTCTCTATGATGCTCCTTGAAATGATGAGAAAGATGAAACAATTGTTCAGCCCTGGGAATGTAGAAAAGATGGAAGAAACTCAGAATAGTCCCACCTATTGACTTTAAAAAGAGACAATGAAACTGTTGGACAAGGTGATATTTCCTACAATAAGGGTTTCTGGCATGCCTGCAGTGTTTGTTTTTTGATCTGGCCTATTTCAAAGGGTTTATATTCTGATACTGGAACTATCCAAATAGTTCCGGTTCCAATACCAAATTATGTTTTTCTTATATCCAGCTGGGTTATCTATATTGTTAGTTATTTGTGTTTTAACTAAGACTTTTTTATTGCCTAATGCTTTTGCTAAGTTTTTATTTGCATGTACATATTACACTATAAAACTCAGCGGTTATAAAAGTGAGTGCTAGGACCAGTTTAACGAAGTTTTCAGAATATTATTTTCTTAATTCTGCTTCTATGGTCTATTGGGATCAGTCTTGATGTTCCATATAGATAAGAACTTTAGTATATTATATTATACTCCTCAAGTTTTTATTCAGACTGATCTGCCTACAGGTGAGGGCTGGTCTCTTGATCAATGAAGCATACTGGCATCTCTTATATGCACACTTTACAGAAGCTCAATACTTTGTCAAAAGAATTTTAAGTTTTTAAAGAACCACAGACTTAAATAAGTAGCTGAGCATCAATAACATGGAAACAAAGACTATGAAATTAGCTTGCTTTAAAAGTTTTATTAGATGATTTCAAATGCAGAATACAAGGATTCTGTATTTCTATCACTCTGCTTCAAATAAAACATTTCATTTCTTCATTTCACACCAACAGCAGGCCATGCAGAGACCCATAAGGGCCCATGATGTACTCCAAAAATTTATGCTTAAATCCAATTCCCCTCCTCCCCCTTCACTTAGAACCACTCTTCTATGTAGCCTTGCTGACCCTGGCTGGTCCTCCAGCTTTGCTGACTAAAATCCCCACCCTTCCTAAAATGCTATTTTGAGAAATCATCCTCTTTGTGACTAATCCCATTAACAGAGGTTGCCGAGACCCATTTTAAGGCCCATCATGAATGCTGAGCTTCCATCCCTATATAATCCATCTGGTCAGGGACGGCTGGAGCATTTCGCGAGTTGTATCCAGCCCAACATATTGCGGAAGCCATACGGCCGTTTTCCCGGGGAGCAATGACGCAATACTACAACCGGAAACGTCTCCTGGTTTGGGGGGAGGGGAGAGAAAGGTAGGGCGGAAAGAAAGAGCGGCCATCTTTGAATAGGTCTCAGTGACCGGACCCATCAAGTTCCAACCCAGGAATGTAACAAATTGTGCGCCCTCTGCTGACGAGCGCCAGATCCTCTTTTCTCCTAATGCGCCGGAACTACAACTCCCAGAATTCCCAGCCGGGAATTTGGGAAAAGTAGTCTGAGAGCCCGAGCGCGAAGAAGACGTTTTCTCTTCCTCACCTTCTTCGATCCTACCTTCTGCTTTCCTTCTTCCGGCCAGCCCGCTTGGCCTCATCCGGGGCACTTAAAGGAACTCCTACCCTGCTTCGGCCCAGCCCAACCACGGTCGCCGTTGCCGCCTCTCTCCTGAGGTGGAGGGAGAGGCGTAGCTGCAACTTGACATGCGCCTACTGGGCATCAAGCTGCACTGAGACTGATGAGGCGTTTTGCGAACTTGGAGCCCCTGAAATGCATTAGGATTACGAATTGCAGTTTTCTCAATGGCCAGAGTGGTGGGGAATTCTGGGAAATTAGGCCCCTGGAGTGCTTTCAACTGGCGGAATACCAGCATCTGTTGTTTCTTCTCTAGTTGGATTGACAGCAGGCAAAAGCGGTGTTAGTAGGATGAGCAATCATCAAGCTACAGAACAGGATTCATTTTGTGTGCATTTAAAAATACTGCATTTGAAGAAGAGCAGAGCCTACCATTTTTATGCACAACCCTCTCATTTGTATGTCTTTTAAGCATTTTGCAAAAAAAAAAAAACCCAACCCTTCAGCTTGCTGTTTATATTGGAAGTTTGGTGGCTTTGTTGTAGGTAGAAGGAAAGAATAAACTAGCAGCAAGGTAACTGGACTTCATTACAATGGCGATGGATACACCATTGGAAGAGTTGTACCAGATCATCACGGAGAAAATCTGTCTATTTACTTGCCAGGAGTCAGTAATTTCATCACATCTAATCAATAAATCTGTTGTAGAAGGATGTTTGCCCACAATCTGATGGCATCCTGAATCTGAGCTGCAAAAATCCAGAAGACAGCAAAAGATAGGCAAAAGAATTTCTGGCAAAAGTTCTTTTCTCCCATCTAGTGGTTCTTTGGATTTTTGCATTCCAGATATATAAGCCTCAGGTCTCTTCAAGTTACTTTCCAGGCAGGTTTTAGGCACCTGGTTCAGCCTTGAAGAATCAAGTTTGACACCCAGTAACCACCACAGTGAGATGACATCTCCAGAATACTGAATGTGTATAGTAGCAATGATGTGAAAGTTTGTCTCTCCTGTGCCCAACTGTTGAATCAAGCCCATAAAAAAAATTAGACTCTTACATGTATTGGTTAAAATAAATCAACTTCCTAGAATAAAGTGCTACTCCAGCTCATACATTTAATTCCTAAAGCAGAGGCCAATATTTCACTTCTCCATTATACTTCAAATAAGAATATATTGTGTAAATGAGGAGAATGAATGGCTGTGACCCAGTGGTAGGTGTTATTTGTCATAATTTCTGTTGAAAAAAATGACTATATTTAAATGATATGTTTGTGGAAGTGAATACTCTAAGCCTTCAGATACTAAGGAGCCCTGATGGTTACAATGCAGTACTGTAGACAAATTCTGTCCACAGTCTGGAGTTCCATCCTAATGAACTCAAAGTTAACTCAGCCTTTTATTTTTCTGAGGTCAATAAACCTCCCCAAAAAGGCTGTAAAGCATTATGGGTGGTATGTAAGTCAAAGTGCTATTGTTATTACTTCCAACTAGTACAGCAGCATCCTACCTTCACGAGAGGTATCGGCTCCATCAGTACCATTTTGAGTGATGATTTTCCCCACTAGTGTATACAGCCTGCAGAGTCATCATCCCCCCCTCCCCAAAGGATCTCCAATTTCACGCTTTATGTTGTACAATTAAATCTGGCAAACACACATATCTTGTGTGGAAATGAAGTTGTGGTTCTCCAGGTATTGCTACTCTTCAAATTTATACGGTAAGTCCCTGACCACTTCTCTCATTTGTTGGCCAGGGCAGATGAAAAAAGTTTTAACATCTGAAAGGAAACCAATCACTATAATCAGACTAAAAATTATTAAAATATTGAGTAAACTTTCCAGTTTTTCAAAAACTTACATGTATGTGCGGCAGACATTGGGGTATATGGTGGGGGGAGTCCTTGGTGTTCTCTTATCTCACAGTGATTGATAAAGTCTTAATGTAGCTTTAATTAGTCAAATGCAATATAGTCAGGCTGTAGAACAATATATATATAACCCATCTGTTCATTAGTGTATCTGTAGAAATGTACATCTAAGGGAAATTCAGTTTTTATTGCTTATTTTAAAACTTTATATTTTCAAAACAGAAATGATTTGTTGGTTAGCACCAAAAAAGGTAACAATGACTAATCCACCATTAGAGCTGATTAAGTAACCCTAAGTCATGCTAGTACTTGTATAATTAAAGATATGTATCTTTTGATTTCACAAGAGTTTTTGTTCTGTAGAAAAACAGTTTCAGGTTATCAGAGCTAACAAACTAAAATGTCACTTGGAAACAAATTGCAAAAATAGTTCTAAGATTCTATCATAGTTTTAGTTTATGCATTGATCAATATTCAGTCATTAAAATTAAAGAGTACATTTCTTTCCCTTACTTTTGTATATAGGTTGATAGAAAATGATTTTCCAGTGTGGGGTTTTAGAAGTTCCAAAGTTTGAGATTATTAATCTAATCTAAATTTGATATGGCTGCCACTTAAAGGATTAACCTTTACTTCTATTCATTCTATCCAATTTTTTAAATCTTGAGCCCAAGAACATACCTTAATATCTGGCTATAAAGCACTGTGGAGCGTTTTTGTTAAGTACACTTTCCCTAAACATGAAAAAATATAAAGCATTAATTTGATGGTTTACATTTTTACTTGCTCTTATAAATATATTACTTTCATAAAAGTAGGATTTTAGATGATAATTAAATAATGGACAAGTACACCATAACGCCTATTCTATATATAATCAGATATACTAAATCTGAACTACTCAAAGTGAATAGAATTTATGAGCATTAAAACATTTTTAAATTTTAGAAATTGAATCTGAAGATGGGAGGGGAGGTACATTTGTAGACCATGGCTTTGCAAATGTTGAGTAAATTCCCAGCAGTCACAGACCACAGGGAAGGAGCCTGAAAACTGTTGTTTGGAAAGCCAGGCATATTACTTATTCAACAATAGATAAAGAGATTGCCCAGCCTGCTGCCCACCTAATATGTTTGATTGGTTTTCATACTGTCTGAGAATCCCAATGAGTTTAATTCAGTGTTTCTCAAACTTAATAACTTTTAAGATGCGGACTTCAACTCCCAGCCAGCATGTCTTAAAAGTTGCCAAATTTGAGAAACACACTCAAATTAATCTAAGGTAACTGGAAGGGAGGAAATTGAAAGCTGTTTGTACTTTCTGGGAGATGAACTATATGTTTTGTCTGTGATAGCTGGTCACTATACATATATTTTGCTTTTACAGAAATCAGATTTTAAAAAGTAGAAAAAACTGTAAGGGCAAGTTTTGTTTTTGTTAACTGGATTTTGGGACTCAAATACACACAAACACAACACAAATAGTCTCCTTTTGAAGCGAGGATGGATTCCCCTCCATCCGAGATGGTGTTCTCACTTCTTCAGTAATATAAAACGGGAGGGGGGGGAGAGAAGACGTAGCCACTTAAAGCGAGGACAGGGATGACGTTATGGTCTGGCAATGCCCTTATCCTGCCTAGCTGATCGGAATCGGTACTATAATTTCTAACATTTCCGGTTGTGTATTGAACAAGCGGGGCAAAACGAAGAACCATTCTCGCTTGCAGCCTTCACGTTGCCCCGCATATGGCGGCGCTCAAATGGAAGCTCTAGGGCCAAGAGGAGACTTCCCCGTTCGCTCTTCGGGCAACGTTATGCGTCATCGCAAATCCCGGGGCTTTTACCATCTTGCGCGAATCCCGACGTAGTGACGTCAGCTGTGAGGCAGGAAGGCAGGGTGGGGCTCCGCTTGCTGCCTGTGTGGCTGGAGGGCGGGGGCGGAGGCGGGGCCGAAGTGGTTTCGGTCCCACCTGCTTTTTCGGCCGCGTTGGGTAGGGAATACGGGACGGAGGAAGGCAGTTCGCCAGCTCTATCGGGGATCGCGGCTCCCGTTCCGGGATGGGGCTCCTGTTCGCCAAGCTGTGGAGTCTATTCTGTACTCAGGGTGAGTGACTACATCCAGCAGGAAAGCCCGGCAGCAGCGCTACTCCCGCGAGGCGGTGGCAAAAGGAAGACCCCGCGGGCAGCATGGATCCGAGTGGGCAGACTTGGGCATTCGTGGCGGACACGGTAGCAAAGGAGGGAGTGGGTCCCGCGGGGAAGGCCGATCCCGGTGGAAAGCAGCGGGAGGGAGCTCGCCTGGGATGGGTTTGCACCAGAGGCGAAGCTTAGAAGGCGAAGTAAGATCGCCTCTGTTGTGGACTGGGATGGGAGACCACATGCAGAGCATCCCAGAGCTATGGCCAGATGAGGACGTGGGAGAAAACGAATGACAAATCCCTTCTGCACTGTTGCTGAGATAGTGCTAGGAACACGTTTGTGTTGCTGAGCTTGACTGGGGGGACTTTCCTTCTTTTTATTGCCTGCGTTTTATCCTGAAAAATGTCATAACTTATTCTATCTCCACCCACCTGTTCCTCCGACAATCCTGTGAGTGGCTAGGCTGGAAAAGATCTTTTTAAATCCATTAACAGGTAACTAGTACGGTGTTCCTCATTTAGGCATTAAACTAGAACACCATTTCTCACCTGAGCAATATTAAGTGATGTGGACTTCAGTTCCCAGAATTCCCCAGCTAACATTCCCCAGGCTGTCTGAGTTCTAGGAGTGAAAGTTCACCAACTGATAATGAAGTGAATTCCACACAAGAAATTAAAGTTGTTAAGATTGAGAAACACAGATCTAAAGTAATCAAGTATTTGGGACATAGGTCATTGATGGTGGGGGTAGATGATACATTCAGGTCCTGAATCAAAGGGGAATAGAGAGCTGTGCTGAAAAGTTTCTTCTCTTGTGTCTCTTGGCCTTTGGCTCTTTAGGAAGACATTTTACTATATTAAAATGTAAAAATAGGAGAACTTTTGCCATCACTCTTCCAATACCATGTATCTGAAATTAGTCTGGCCAATGTTTA